GGAGAAGGCTTGTGAGTTCCAGACACACAAAAAGATAGTTTTTTCCTTTGTACTCTTAACATTAAGGAGCTCTGGTAGCGTAGTGGTTACAAATCAGGCTACTAACCTCAGGGTCAGCAGTTTGAAACTGCTAACAGTTCCATGGGAGAAAGATTAGATCCCATAACAATACACAGCCTCGGAAACCCTGTACAGATTCTCTATGAGTTGGAACGGACTCTGTGGCACATAAGAACAACAACAACATTCTTAACATTAGAGGTCAGACGTGAATTACCAAGATGTTCAAAGAGGTTAAAGACTGCAGGGAAATTAAATGAATGCAAAGGGAACCACCTGAAGGTATCTCAGAATGTTCATGAGTGTGAAGAAACTCATGTCACTGAACTTGTGTAAAATTGTTTATTGAGAATTTAAGCTTCCCTGCAAATCTATACCAAAAATAACAACAACAACAAAAAAGCAAAAAATAAAGATTCCAAGAATGGATTAGCTCCGCTAGGTCAGTGGTTCAAACCCACCAGCTCTTGGAAACATTATACAGGGTCCCTATGAGTCGGAACTGCTGAGATGGCACTCAGCTTTTGCAATCACCACGATAGAGAATTCCCACAGGAAAAATTTGTGGCTGTCAGCTTCCATTAAGATTAAAACCAACAAACTAAAAGGGAACACATGAGCAGGTATGTAAACTTGCTGGTGACCACATTGGTCTACTGGTGAGTGAAAGAAGGGGAAAGGCAGCAATGAAGAAATGGGCTGAGTTCAACCATGTTCCATAGACTCCGCTGACTGATCGCTAGTTTCTCCAAGAGGCCTCAAGATCTATCTTGAAGTATAATGCTGTTGGTGATAGTGTAATATCATAAAAGGAAGACCATTTGATACCACTGTTATTCAACTTTATGCACCATCCACTAAAGCCAGTGATGATGAAAGTGAAAATTCTATCAATTTTGTCAGTCTGAAATTTATCAAACATGCATAAAGATGTATTGATAAATACTGGTGATTGGAATGCAAAGGTTGGAAACAGAGGAAGGATAGATATGATGCTGAGCTAGCATGGTAGAATTTTGCAAGGCTGATGACCATCTTTATTGCAAATACCTTATTTAAAAAACATAAAATACGCATATCTACATGGACCCCATCAGATGGAACACACAGAAATCAAATTGACCACATCTGTGGAAAGAGATAGTGGAAAAGCTCCATATCATTAACCAAAAGAAGACCAGGGGCAGATTAGTTAT